ATTTATTTATTTCTGAGGAAGATTAGCCCTGAGCCAACATCTGCTGCCAATCCCCCTCTTTTTGCTGAGGAAGACTGGCCCTGAGCTAACATCCATGCCCATCTTCCTCTACTTTATATGTGGGACGCCCACCACAGCATGGCTTGCCAAGCTGTGCCATGTCTGCACCGGAGATCTGAACCAGCGAACCCCGGGCCGCCAAAGTGGAGTGTGCGCGCTTAACCACTGTGACACCAGGCCGGCCCCAGTACTGTTATTATATCCATTTTAGAGATAGGTAAACTGAGGCACGGAGAGGTTAAGTGACTGCCAGATTCTGAACCCCAGCAGCCTCACCCCAGGCCCACGGGGTGGCCCTGCTGTGGCCCTGGCACTCAAGGTCATGGAAGGCCGGGTTCTTGGTGGGGCTGCATCTCCTACATCTGGAACCCTCTGCCCAGTCCCCCCACACTAAACCCAGAGACCCCAAGAGGGAGCAGCACGGCCCCCAGAACTTGGGTTGATTTCCAGATAAATCAGGTTTCGATTACAAGCTCTGTCAAGAGATCCGGGTGTCAGAACGTCAGGGAGCTTGACAACTGCCTTCTCATTACAGAGTCTCCATGTCTCCCGTTCCTGGCAGGTGAGAGGCCGCACACGCAGGACTGTGACACAGACGCTAATCAGGGTGGACACACCCAGTGACAAGGACCTGTCCACCGTGCCTGTCAGTGTGGCCCTGGCAGCTGCTAGCTGGGCCTGACTGCCCACGCACATTCTCTCCAGACAGAGCCCACGGCGGGCTGGCGCCCTGCAGCCAGAGCCTGACCCTGAGGCCACTCTCCTGCAAGGACCTCCCTTCCAGGAGGGACAGGGCCACGCTGAGGACAAGAGAGCAATGGAGGGGATCCGGGGAGAACGACTCTCCTTCGGGAAGCGGCTGCCTGGGGGAGGAGCCAATGTGGAGGGAGGGCCGGTGGAGCCCTGGCTCGGCCTGGGGAATGCGCCTGAGCGCCCCCCGCAGCCCGGCCACCACACCCAGGAAGGACCACTTCCCTTCACGCTCTGCCCTGGGAGTCCACCAAGCTGGGGCAGCCCATGAGGCCCGAAAGCTGCTGGGCTGCTGACTTTGAGCTGATCCTGGGCCGGCGTCCTGAGGGAAGGCCCCACCATGGGACAGCAAGGTCAGAAAAGAGTCGCAAAGGGTCCTCGAGGGTCCCCGTGGCCTTGCCTCCTGAATCTTCCCCTCACTGGCCTCTAGTGCCCCCTTCCCTTCCTCCTCCTCCTCTCTTGGCCCCACTTCCAACAGTCGCCTGCTCTCCTGAACCCTGACCTCCAGGGTCACGTGAGTCTTCTTGAACTGGGCTATTTTGGCTATACAATTCTACAAGCTTGTCTCCACGAACACTGACCTTGGACAACCTGACGGTCATTAAATGTTCTTCACAGTCATGACTCAAGGACACACGGGATTTCCCCAGACGGCGGTCTCATGATCGGCTCCTCGTTGGGAGGTGCTTGTTGCCTCTGGGATTTTGCTACAAAGAATTAAACGTCTTTCTGCGTCCGGCCTGGGCAGGGACTCTGGTCATTTCCTAGGATGGCTTCCTAAGGTGGAATTGCTGGGCCGCAGAGCATGCGTTTACCCCAAAGGCTGTGAGTGAGTGTGGTGGGGCAGGGGGACCATCTCAAACCGATGGAGGAGTGGACGGAGCAGAGCAAGGACAGTTTCTGACTGGAATGCTCCATTTTCCCTACAAACCAGGACGCGGTGCTGTGTCAGGACAGTCAACCGCCAGCGTTGAATCAGGGAGCCGACACCGACGCGTTGTGATGCATCTGGTTAACCTCAGCTCCAGCCCCAGTGGGCTCTGCCGTGTGTCCTGACACTGTCTATACCAGCGCAGGGCCCAGTTCAGAGGCACGTGCCCCTGGTCTGTTGGCTCCTGAGTCTTGTCTTGCGGCCTGTGATCCCAGAACATGAGGAGATTACGGATCAAGGTTTGAGGAGGACCCCTCCCCTTGGGTTTGCCTGATGTCCCCTCATGATTAGAGGCCCCACTGGCAGGAACATGGCAGAAGGGACTGTCCTCGTCCCCCCGGGGGGCAGCTTGTCCCGTTACGGATGGCGCCCCTTTCACCCGTCAATTAAGCTGGCGTCCACCAGCGTCATTTCCTTCCTTGGCGGTTAGTCTGTGTTTTCAGAGGAGGTGCCTTGGGTCTATTTAATGCTCTATTTCTCCTCGAACATGAGGGTATTCCTGTGTTTCTTTCCATCACTTCAATGCATGGCTTCTGTTACATCCAACGTGTTATGCTTTTGTTTGTGTTGATGCTCAAATTGTCCTGGATTTGGCTGGCGGGACCCCTTCCATGCTGGTTTCTGTGACAATCAACACATCTCCGTCATCCTTTGAGTGACTCCGCACCGTCCTGCACAGTCGGATGGGCCACGCTCACCCTCCCCCGGTCCAGCACTGAAATGAGCCATTGTTCCCAAAAGTCCTGGTTTCTGCTGGTGAAAATGGTATTCAGGCCAATCCCCAACGGCCAGGTGTGCTCATAGCTATTGGGCTGGCCCTGCCCATAGGCCCCTCGGCGCACAGAGCTGGACAGAGGGTGCCCGCCTCGCCCTCTGCAGCTCTGACCTCTGACCCACCGTGCAGGCCCAGGCTCCCATGTGGGTGGTCGAGACTCCCACTCGGACGCCCTCATCCCACTCAAGCTCCAACATCCAGTTCCTCCAGCCACTGCGTCTCCTGCTTTGGCTCCTGCAGATACTGACCCTGCTCACCCAACCTAACAGGTTGGCCCTGAACTTGTTTAGGAAGAGAATGAAGGTAGCAGAGGAAGCAGAACGGGGGCCATCTCGACGGCGTTCGTCAGTTAGCGCCTGCAGGAAATCTGCCCATGGTCCACCACCAAAGAGCTTGGAAACGCCTCATTCTCAACGTCACATGTAATCCTGGAAAAATCAGTAACGCTTTCCTATCTAAATTTGCTTTATTTGATCAATAATGATGTAAACATTTTCCATGTTTATCAGCTATCTTTGTTGTGTTTGTCCTTTCGCGTCAGACCCATCTTTTAATCGATATGATAATCATTATTTCTAAGAAATTCCCATCCATAAGGGGAGTGGGTCTCTGACAAACATTTATCACTGCCTTCTTACTAGGTTTTTCGTCTTTACTTTTGTAGTTATCTTAAATTATGATTTCTTTTTTTTTTTTTTTGAGGAAAATCAGCCCTGAGCTAATATCTGCCGCAATCCTCCTCTTTTTGCTGAGGAAGACTGGCCCTGAGCTAACATCCATGCCCATCTTCCTCTACATTATATGTGGGATGCCTACCAGAGCATGGCTTGCCAAGCTGTGCCATGTCCACACCCGGGATCCGAACCAGTGAACCCCAGGCCGCCGAAGCAGAATGTGCAAACTTAACCACTGCACCACCAGGCCGGCCCCCAAAATTATAATTTCAATGTCTACTCAAATCTCTTTTTCGTGTGCTTTCTCACGTATTCTTCTAAAGATGTCATTTTTACCTTAGAGCCAGTAAACATTGTGCTGTTTTGTTTTGTCTTCTTCTTCTTTCGTGGTTTTATTTTAAAATCAAATCTACCTAGAATGTATCATATTCTAAGGGGATGTGGGAAAGTGTAACTTTATCATACGTAGTTTATTTCTTGATCCCGTGTCATTGACTGAATAAGCTTCTATTTACTAATCGATGATGATACTATTGGCACTTAGTAAACTATTACGGGAACACGTGCCATTATTTCTGAAATTCTGATTCTTTCGCAGTGGTCTGTGCTCTTCTGCTGACACAGATGGCGATTCTCGGGCTGCACCAGCTCCTCGCAGGCTTGAGCTTCACGCTGTGGTTGACCATCTGACACAGACGGCGATTCTCGGGCTGCACCAGCTCCTCGCAGGCTTGAGCTTCACGCTGTGGTTGACCATCTGGTGCAGCAGCTCGGTCCTCGATAGCCGTCTCTCAAACACTGTGGTTCTTCGCGTTGACTTGCGCTTCCAGACAAGCTCTGCGTCACATCGGCAGGTTTAAGAGCCGCACGTGACTTTGCTCTGACTTACGCTCAGTCTTTAAACCTGAGAGTTCTCTCTCTGTCCCGTCGTTGCCTCCAGGTGACGTGTCTCCTTCGTGAGCTTCTCCATGTCAAGCCTCTGCCTTTCCGGGTAGGTTTACTCCCTGCTGGTTACTGTTGAGATGGGGTCTCAGATGGTCCCTATGACATGTTCCAAATTACTGCTGACTTTCCACAGGAAACGTTCTCATTCTACCACTGATTTCCCGCCGCTCTCTCAATGTCCCAGGACCTTTGCTCGCCTGCCGTGCTGCACGTCCGCTTGGGTCTGGCAGGAGACGTCCTGATAGGAAGGGCCACCACGGCGCCCTGGGGAAAGACTCCTGGAGGCTCTCGGGCAGCCCTGCCTGAGGTCACTTGGCGGGCAGGAGTCCTGGTCCTCGTCCCGCCCGCTCCCGTGCCCCACACTTGCCAGAAACGCCCGTGTGGTCCCACGGTTACTCACCCTTGCCCCAGCGCCCTGTGCTGTGGCATCTGTGTCTCTTTCCTTTGGCTTTGTTTGTTTGCTCTTTACACATTTTCTAACTTTCCAGTGTTTCAGTGAGAGGAAGGGCAGGGACAGCACTGAACGCCACCAGCCCAGGTCATCTCTCACAGCGCAGCCTTAAAAAGAGCCAAGGGCACCCCTACCATGTCTCAATGGCGTTCACTCACTTAAGGAGCAAATGAAGGCCAAGCTCCATCTTCCCACGTCCTGCGAAGGCTGAGAGTGACTGTAGCCTCTCCACCACAGAGGCCGGGCTCCTATGGTCAGCCGTGGCCCTGGGACACCTCCCCCTGCTCAGGCAACGGGCATGGAGACCTGGGAAAATCCCTCTCCCCATGACCTGGGTCAAGAAGCCCCAGGGCCCCTTGGGAGCTGGCTCCGCCCTGTGTCCCCAGTGATATGCGTCTGGGGCTTCCTGCCGGGGAAGGTTGCCATCTCCGCCTCGTGTCTGATTCAGTTGTTTCTTGAGGATCTGGGTTACGAAGAGAGCAACCCTCCGTGAAATCCACTTTGTGCCTTTTCCTCCAAGGACTTTTTAAAAGTACATGTGGAAAAAATTCGGGTTTTCAAAAATAGTAAGTGTTATGCAATAAATGGCACACTTCCTCTTTTCCATTAAAACAGAAAACACGTGGTTATTTTTAGCTCCGAGGTCCACGAGGAAGCAGGCAGCAGCGTGTGCCAGTGTGAGCACAGAAAGCTGTCTTCACCAGCTGCCCAAGCCCCTGGGGTGGGGCGCGTGTTAAGGGACCTGGGGCACAGTCAGTGCTGGTGTCGGTGATGGTGACGAGGGTCCCAGTGGAAACCACCACCACGGAGGAAGCCCCCACCTTCAGGCGGATGAACCGAGCTGAGGCCCTGCAGCCCCAGACGCGGTTCCCTCTTGTGCAGAACCAGGATGAGGGAACTGAGACCGTGGGTTTATGTAAAGTGAGGTTTAGTAAGAAATGTGCCCGAGTGCTCAGGGCACCTGATACTCAGTAGACGGAAACTGTTAGCGCCATTGTTATCACTGTGTTTGTCTTTTGATTTTGGCTCTGTGCAATAACGCCCTCCAGGGGCCAGGATCCGATGACTCCCTCTTCCCCGGGGACACCAACCCCACATCTCGCCTGCCCAGGGGACGTTGGGAAGCAGGGTGGCCCCGAGGACATCACGCAGTAAATATCAGGCATCTGACAGGGCTCCCAATGGCAAAGCTGGAAAGATCTGAGGAAAAAATAACAACACTGTTGGATCACCACCCACAGACTGGAATGTCCATGAGTCCACATCGATATAAACACACATTCAAACAAGCAAACGTGGGAGAAGAAACACTGTCTCCCCACAGAAAAATTCGTATTAATAAACGAAGAAGGAGAGAGGGAAACAATAACACTACCGGGCAAACAGCGGCATGTTGATAGTCTCTGGCGGCCGGGAAAGTCTGGGGAGACACAGGGAGGGGCCTCTTCCCTGGTTGTGCTGATTACCCAGAGCTGGTGAGAAACGGTCTCTGGATGCGTCTTTAGGTCAGAGCTTCTCCAAGGCTCTCCCTGCACGACCCCCGCCAGGTTTTCCTTTCATGAGTCTGGTACCCGTTAACCTCAGGGGAATTCTGATTTATAAGACGTCCGAGCCTTGAACCACAGAATTACGAAAACCACAGACTTGAAATGAGGGTGAGAGGAAAAACATAAAGTGAACACACGCAGTTAGACGTTTCAACACGTTGATTTTGCACAGATGCCCTCGGTCCCACCACCCCTCTGACCCCGGCCCCACCACTCACCCCGGCCTTGTCTCCTGAGGAACCGGGTCAGGGTGGATAGAGAACGGGAAGAGGCTGGAGAGGCCAAACCCACAGGACAGACAAGCCAGACCCTGAGCCCACTGAGGAGCCAGGAGAAGGGGGAGTGAGGGCAGCCTCCCTGCCTGCAGGACAGATGGACAGACAGACGAGGAGACAGGGATGGAGCCCCGCGGGGGGCACACAGAGAGGAGACACCAGAAGCTCAGGAGGCCGCAGCCGGACGAGAGGCGCTGTCCTCTTATTTTGGACGAGGTTGGTATTTCTCCCAGTGACTCTGCAGGACAAGGCCCAGATCCACGCAGGCGACAGCCTCGACCTCAGGGCAGATGGGAGGCCCATTCGCACCCCTTCAGGTTCTCCTGCCAACAGGGTGGTGAGGCCCTGCAGCTCTGCCCTCTGATGGGAGAAGAGGAACGTGTTTCGATTTGTCTTTTCCTCCCTTGTGACACTTATGCCCAGGCCCTGTGGTCCATTTTGTTGTTCGTCTCTTAAAGCTCTTTACTCATTGAGGTACTGGACTTCTTACGTAACTGTCATAGCTCTGTGATCTGCTTGTCGCTCATGTACTATTTTCAAGTGAGGTTAGACTTACAAATCCTTCCTGTTTTTTCCTTTGGGTCCCATCCTGAGGTGAAGGCCACACTCAGGGACCCACAAACATGGGTGTTGAGAAGCCGAACCGTGGACTGAATGACACAAACGCGAAGAAAGGGGTCACGAGGAGGAGACGGGAAGACGTGCAGGCCCCTGGGGTTGGGTTGACACGGGGCCCGGGACGGACACCACGGACATTGATGGTGCACTCCGAGCCCCAGCTGGGACAGTGAAAGGCGGGACAGACAGGCCCCACTCTGGTCGTGTGCAGAGCCCAGCGTTGGGGAGGGAAATCGTCACCTCCACCTCGCGGGGCCCGGCGGCCTGAGAGTTGAGCTGCTGAGACAGCAGCTGGAGGAAAGCATCCAGGTTCACGTAGCGTAAGTTTTAGTGACACGGGGGCCTCATGAGGGTGATAGAGACCCAGGGAAGCGGCAAAACCAAATGCTTTTCGCTGGGTCGAAGGAGGAGAGGAGATTGAGGAAAGTAACAGAGACACCTGGAGAGAGCACGGAGACGAGAGTGACTCTGGTGAGGTCAGCTGCACAGAATTCTCGGAGGCTCCCCTCTGGAGCTGACGGTTCCCTCCTCCCGGCGCGGGGCGACACCTTCCTCCCTGGTTTACCTCCTGCCCTCAGGAAGGAAGGGGGCTCAGAACACTCTTCTGGCACCTGCTGTTTTTCCAGGGTCTTCAGCTCAAACAATCTCGCCCAAGTGGCATTTCCGGGGTCACACATTCCGCCCCCTTTGCTAGAGGACAAGTCAGAAGATGGGGAACAGTCGGAACGTGCTGCCTTCTGCATGAATGAGAAATAAGCAATGAGGAGCCTCCTGAACCTTCCCCAGGGTGACTCCAGGCACGGGTTGGGGGCACTGTGAAAGGGTGATTTCTTTTCAAAGTAAAATCATGACTTATGCAAACATAAAATGCACACGTTGCAGTTTGTTTAACTCATGAATTAACGAGGGAACCAGTAAGATGTTACAACCAGTTCACAGCAGAATCCAGACCCATTCACATGCAGACAATCAGAAATGCTGAAATAAATTTACAAATAGATGCGAAATGGGTCAATCCCTACAGGGTGATAATCAATTTCATTTGAACAGACAAAATTTATTTGCATTTCTACAGGCAAGAATTATCTGCATTAGTTCAAGCTTTCTGCAGCCTGAGAGTTGTAAAATAGCTCAAAGAGGATGAAAGGCACAGGTCCCAGTAGAATCACAATCCAGGGGGAGCCGGACACACAGCAGTGGTTTTTCCAATTTTTCCCATTTTCATTTTTCACAGTTTTTCTAGCAGGCTGCTGACAGCAAACACAGTTCTGTCTGTGTGGCCAGGACGCTGTGTGAGGCCACCTCGTGCCCTGGCCGGGGGTCCTTTGGAAAACTGAGCCGGGACCAATTACTAGGGGTGGGGTGCGGGCTGCAATCCAGGGGAACAGGAGTGGGGGGTGACCGGGAAGAAAGGAGAATAAATGCAAAGTGGGGCCTTTCATTTTGTTCTGAGCGGGCTGCAGATTATGAGGAAGACAGTGAGACTATGGCTCATCAGGGCATCTCCAGGGAGGCCACGTGGAACCACCGCCTCGAAAAGCTCTGTGGGTGGGGAGGGAGGGCGGGCAAGCAGTTTACCTTGCTGGTCCCTTCCCACTGGCCCAGACCCCTCCAAACAGCCACTGACCTTTGCCCAAAGCCGGGGCTGTGACCACTGGGGGGTCAGGATGACGGAGGCTGGCATCTCAAACCAGACAGGAGGGAGGACGGGGGAACAGTCTGTGTGGGATGGAGCAGACAGCAGGCAGTCCTGCAGTCCGTGGTGATCTTGTCACGGCCCCCAGGCTCTGGGGCAAAGCCTGGGCCTGGGCGGCATCTGAAGGAGAGAAAACACTGCCCCATCTCTGCCCAGGTGTGGGGACACTGTGACCACAGTCGGGGCGAGGGTGACGGCAGGTGGCTGCTGAGCTGCTGCTTCTGGGCCGGGTGCTGACCCCACTGGCACGTGAGGTCGGACAGTCACACCAGGAGCCCTCACTTGTCTGAGGAGAAAACCATTAGCCCCTCTGGATGCGGGGTCTCTGATGATAACGGCCACAGATGCGCGTCCAGGTCTCCATCCGCCATCTCACACCCCTGGGCTCTAGGACCCCACTCCCATGGGGCATCATCGGGATCTTTGACAGAGGGCCGCCCTCCGGCCACAGGAGGGCCCTTCCCTGAGCTCCTGAGGGCTGGGGTTGTCGCGATTTACAACCCTTAACAGGTGACTGCCAGGCAGGGGCACAAACACTCAAAGCCACTCACCTCCAGATGGGGACACCTGCGAGCCATGACCTGCAGAGTCCGGAGTTCCTCCACGGGATGGAGCCCTTGTCCCTCCACAGGCCTGCATGCGCCTCCTCCCCATCCCCGTCCACTCCCCACTCCCAGCCACGTTTCCGGGGAGCATGTCCTTCATACAAATCTCATCTCAGAGTCTGCATCTGGAACCACACCCACATGCCGCTATCCAAGTTCCGTTCCAGGAAGGTGTCTGTGGGGTGAGCTGGGAAGAAGGGGGGTGCTCCGCATCTGGGGACTCAGACTCTGCCCGGGCGCCTCTCCTGAGCCGGTTTTCATCTGTGTCCCTTCCCTGTGACGAACCATGGCCATGCGTGGTTCAGCTCTCAGCGAGCTCCAGGCCCTTCCAGAGAGCTGTCACACCAAGCACCGCCTTGGGGATCCCGAGCCTGCGGCTGGCGGTGTAACCGCAGGCCCGCCAGCACCAGGTCAACTGAGCCATCTCTTATCAACAGAGAGGTTGAGAATCGCCTTTCAGGAAACAGGAAACGTGCCAAGTCACGTGGCCAGAGCACGCGCAGAAGAGGAAATCTTGACTTGAAATGACCGTGGAACCGAAGATCCCCCTTCCCACGGAACCCAAGGACAGAATGCGACCGGAGTTTGAAGGTCGGGCTCTCATCAGAAGCGAGGGCCCTGGTTCAGGAAGATCCAGTGTTAAAATTCACAGAGAATGTCTAGAGCCCCGTCGTAAACAGTTAGAACCCCGTCATAAATGCTTGAAGCCCAGCAATGGAAACCCGTCCCCCCAGAGTTTGCGCGTGCCTAACTGTTGTCTAGACCCCCTAAATTTCACCCCAAATCCTGCTCTGGGGAGACAGATGAGGGCCCCCTGCCTCCCTGCAGGTCGGCCTCGCAGAATAAAGCTGGTCTCTTCGCAAAGGCTGATGCCCGACTAGTGGCTGTTTATGTGCACCGGGCAGAGAACCTCATTCCGTGTGGTCACTGTCAGAGCGAAGGCAGTTTTGGGGGCACAGGCGGCTCCCTTGGGCCCTGCAGCAAGGCTAACCGTACACACACACACACACACACACACACACACACACGTGAGGCTGGGAAACCACACGGCAGGCGTTGTGCAGAGATGCCTCGGAGTGTAGGACCAGTGTGTGTGTTCCCATCTGTTGTTATTCATTTGTGTGCGAGAACCTATCGCACACCAACCTCTGCTCCACCAGCTCAGGCGGCTCTGGTCTCGGGGCTCAGCAGCCCGGTAAGACGCAGGTGTCAGTGGGGGTGACACCAACCACGCGGTCAGGTCGCGCCCACCCATCTACGCCACTTGCTCTTGCTCTACCGCGTAACTTGACCAAACGTTACATAAACCAGCTACGCATCGTGTAAAAGGAGAGAAAGTCGTTTCTACAATACACAGTTTGGGAAATCAAGACAAAGGCAAGTGAAGTCACTTTAAAAATTGCTTTTGAATTAGCTGCAGACAAGATACCTCAAAATACGAAAAGCAACTTGTGAAAATTTGGAAGATTTCTGGTCTCAGGTGACTTTACAAACATATTCAAGTCTCAGTCCTGGTACTTAAAAAAAAGTACCAAAAGTGGGTATCTTAGGGGATGAAGTAAGCACGTGGTTTATACCAAAAATGAAAATAAGACTCCAGTCCTGACCGGCTGACTAGTCTCCACCCTACACGAAAATACAGTCAAGGCCAGAGCTGCCCAAACGATGACAGAGGAAGCAGAGGGTGGCCCCAGGTATGCGGTGGCCTTGGGTGTGCAGTGGCCCCGGGTGAGCAGTGGCCCTGGTTGTGAGGTCATTCTGGGTGTGCTGTGGCCCTGGTTGTGCGGTGGCCCTAGGTGAGCAGTGGCCCTGGTTGTGAGGTCACTCTGGGTGTGCTGTGGCCCTGGTTGTGCGGTGGCCCTGGGTGAGCAGTGGCCCTGGTTGTGAGGTCACTCTGGGTGTGCAGTGGCCCCAGGTGTGCAGTGGCCCTGGTTGTGAGGTCACTCTGGGTGTGCTGTGGCCCTGGGTGTGCGGTGGCCTTGGGTGTGCGGTGGCCCTAGGTGAGCAGTGGCCCTGGTTGTGAGGTCACTCTGGGTGTGCTGTGGCCCCGGGTGTGCTGTGGCCCTGGGTGTGTGGTGGCCCCGGGTGAGCAGTGGCCCTGGTTGTGAGGTCACTCTGGGTGTGCTGTGGCCCCGGGTGTGCTGTGGCTCTGGTTGTGCAGTGGCCCTAGGTGAGCAGTGGCCCTGGTTGTGAGGTCACTCTGGGTGTGAGGCGGCCCCGGGTGGGATATTGACCAGAGGGGAGAGGGGCCTTTCTAGCGTGATGGAAACTTGATGCATCTCCATTGATTGTGCACCTTTATCAGAACTTATCAGCACGTACAGTCAGAATCTGAAGATTTCATTGTATGAAAAGTAAATCTCATGAACTTATTAAGAATTAATGCATATTTATAAGTTTTAAGTTAAAAATATATGCAAAGTATGTCTGCTTCCTTATTTTTTATTATCACTTTCACCATTTTAAACTTTATAATTTTAATTAACTAACAGACCATGTTGGCTTCAGAAATGTGTTCCTTCTCTCTGTTACTTTCATAATGAAGGAATAAATGTATTTTAAATAAAATTTTACAATTTTCACCATCACCTGGGAGGCTCATGATCCTGTATGAAAGGGAAACACCGTCGTGCTAGAGTCAGAACTTTTCTGATTAGAAATTTAACAAAGTTGATGACCCTGAGTGTCCTGGAGCCTGAAACACAGAAGACGGCCCACCCTTGAATTCTAACAGGCCCAGCCAGCAGAGGCCAGGAACCCGCCCTCTCCAGCCCTCCTTTCTCTGGGCCGATGGGCAGGGGCACTGGGGACCCCAGGAGCCTACTGGCCCCAGTTCTCCGGCAGGATGCCCACTGGGCCCAGGGGGGAGGGGATCATCCGGGTGGGTCCCCTGGCTGGGCAGGGAGCTGCTGCCATTAGCAGAGGTGCCGACGTGCTAAGTACACCTGGGAAAACGGGACTGAATGCTTGTCTGCCTGAGAGAACTTCACCCCTGCACCTGCTCCAGTCAGACGCGCGCCCTCGACCACAGCTGCCTGCAGGGCTGGTCACTGATGCGAATGCCAGCCTGGGATCTCTGTTCCTCCCTCCACCGGCCTCCTACCTCACTTCTCACCATCCCTGGGGCTCAGAAACCACTCCAGGCCCCCAGCAGGTCCAGAGACCCCATCTGCACTGCTTCCCTGAGACACCACCAGCTGACAGAGAGGCTGCAGCTCCTCCTGCTGCGGTGGCCAGAGGCCCTGCTGTGCCTCCACGGGCTCCTGGGGACGGAGTCAGGCTCAAGGGCACGTGCTGCTTCTGAAGGAGTGGTGTGTGCACACGGGAGAGCGCCACTGTCTCCCTGTACACACGGTGCAACGTGTGGGTGAAGCCACCTGCACGAGAGGCAACGAGGCGCGGGCAGACAGCTGCTGCTCTGCGGGCCGGGGTGGCCCTCCTGTCTGCTCATCTCAGGCCGGACACTGCCCCGCACTGGGCCTGCAGCCCCAGGCAGACCCCCACTCACAGGGTGCAGAGGATGGAGCCCGGCTGGTGTTCCGGGTAGCTGGAGTTGACGCTCACCTGGCGTCTCTTCGTGGGAGGGGTTTCTGGCCAGTGTCAGGCTCTGACACCACTGGAGGCCCTGGGAGACCTGGAAGGACTGGCCTTCTCAAGTGAGCTGAGGCAAGAGGACCCCTGAGGGAGGCCTGAGGGAGAGGCTGAGCTCCAGACTCCAGCCCCACAATGCTGGGTGATTCTGAGCCTCTCGGGGCCACGCCAGGACCCAGGGGTGCCCGGAGGGAGCACCTCCCAGGAACCAGAGAGCAGCTCTCCCCAAAGCCCCATGCAGGGACATTTGCTGATAAAAGAATGAACTGCAGGGAGGGCTGGAGCAGCCACGCCCTGGGGGGATGGGGTCCCTCATGCTGGAGTGGGACGCTCCTCTCCCTTCTGGGTCAGGGCTCAGCTCGGCTCTGCCTGCTCTTGATCCTCTGCCGGCCCTGCCAGGCTCGGGAATCAGGCCTGTAGGCCTGTCCCTTCACAGCTGCTCCATGCTCTGGGCTCGCACCATGTTCATCCCTGCACATTCGCAGTCCAGAGGTCAGGGGTCAGGAGAGCACAGAGGCGAGTGTGCACAGAGACACCTGGAGTGCCACACAAGGGGCCACAGGGAGCTGACCCCGGAGGGCCCCTTGGAGTTTCAGATCAGGGGGCTCCAGTAAGGGGAGACCCCCAGACTAGGGGCCTCATCTCAAACGCCTCATTAACGCCTTATGGGCGGTGACTTGGCAGGAACCCCACACCCACCACGCAGGGAGTCCCTTGCCCATGGGCCAACCCAGAGGAGCAACTACCAGGCGCCTCATCCTGGGGCGACTCCCTCCCTTCCTTGGGGTTCTCTTTGCAGTTACGCAACTGGGGCCACCAGTGGCAGACATCACACGCAGAGGTCACTTTGACCTTCGTCACAGCATCTGCCCTAAGGCACTCTCTCCAGCAGGGAGAGGGCAGCGCAGGTGGACATCTAGGGACGGCAGCCACTCCCTCCCATCAGGCCTGTAGTGCCCGCATCTCTGAACACGGGATGACATGTGGGGACTCCAGGACTGGAGCCTCTCGGGGGGGCCTGCATCTAGTTTCCAAAGCAACTCTGACTCTCAAACCATTGGAGACCCCTCCTTATTCGAGGTACTCTCCTGATTTGGAGGAGAGATTTAGAATAAGTATGTAAGATCGGGCAGAGCTGTGATACAACACAAGCCAGCACAGCTGAGCTGGAGACCATGACAGACATGCTGCTGTGGGGTGGCCAGTGCCAAGCCTGGGACCAGAGGAGGAGGAACGTGGCAGCACTGTGGTGCGTCCTGTGCCAGAATTGGGACCTAGACACAGGAGAAGCGTGTGCGTGGTGGGCAATCCTGACAAACTGGGACGGGACTGCTGGGCTGTCTCCTGGGAATGTGAGCACCGCAGGCTGTGGTTACCGGTCGAGGTCAGCCGTAGGCGTGACGAGGATAGAGGTGTCACACACTCCTACTTCTGGACAGAGAGTGGTCTCTGTGACTGATGAAGACCAGCCTGGTGTCCCCCTAGCGTCCACTGCAGCTGCTCCCACGGGGGCCAGAGCCCAAAGCACAGGACCCACTGCAGGTGGGGCAGGCGGACCCTGTGCCAGATGGAGAATTTCAGGAGATCTGGTTAACGCCGAGATAGTCCAGTTCTCAATGGGGGTCGTGGCCACCCAGGTGCTGACATGTTCCAAAATTCACCAGACGCACACTTAACATGCCTGTGTTCTATCGTACGGAAGTTACACCTTCATAGAGCTGACTTTCACTAAGAAACAAACCGTATCTGGGGCGATACATCTTCTACTGGGTGTTTATAAAGCCCTCAGAACTCAATCGTTCCCCTCGTTTGTCAGCACCACCCAGGGCCCGTCCTCGCACGTCTGCAGCCCGAGCGCAGTCTACACAACACCCACGCCCTCCTCGACCTCTAGCAGCTTTGTTGCCTCTGACAGGGAACAGGCAGTAACCTGCAAATGCGGCACATCCGACCCTCAGCGTGTCAGTTGGGCGGCAAGTGTCCACTGTGTCTGCCAGCCTGGGCACGGTACTAGGAGAAGCTGGAGGTATGAACTAGTGTCCACACCGTATCCTAGAAGGGCAGAGACACAGCGGAGTAAGCGCAGACCAGCGCCAGTAACTGGATACAGGGCCATGGCCAGAGCTCAGGGAGGCTGTAACCACGGGCCACCAGGACCGATTCAAACTGACCGTCTTACCAAGAGCGACTGAGCTGTGTCTCAGGAACTGAGAGGCCTCTTGTCCAGTTCAGGCCTGTTGAGACCACCAACCCACCACCTGGACCTGTCGAATGCCCAGTCAGTGACTCTCTGCCATCAGGGGCTGCAAACCCCACCCTCAGGTCACCTAACACCTCATCTGTGAGTAGGCGTCCTGTGAGAGCATGGAGCTTGACTGCGCTGGTGCAGGCCGTCAAATACGTCACTTCCCTCCTCAGTCGCTGTCTCCACACCTCAGACCACCCCCCATCCCACAAATTGAGCGCAAGTCCTGGGTCTGGAACACACCTCTGAGAGCTCTGACTCCCGCCTCCTGGCTGGCCGACCTCGAAAAAGCTGGTGGTGTGATCATTGGCTTTTTACGGGCATCGGGCAGAGAACCCTGTCTTTGTGTGGTGATGTGGCCACAGAGAAGGGATGCACATGTCCTCCAGGTCAGGGAGGGATGCGGAGAGGTGGCCTCTGAGGGCGGTCTCAGAAGACACAGCACAGAGGGAGGAAGGAGGGAGCATGAGAAAGGGCATCCCAGACAGGTGACCTCGGAGATGGGGAATGATGAGGGACCATGTCTTTCAGGGACCACAGCAGCTCAGTGAAGCTGGAATGCAGGGAGCAGGACAGAGGCTGGGCAGAAATAGAGAGAAGGGAAAGGAGGGAGGGACGGAAGGAGGAAAGGAGGGAAGGAGGGAGGGAGGGAGGGAGGGAAGCAAAGGAAGGAGGGAAGGGAAGGATGGAAGAGGAGGGAGGGAGGGCAGAAGGGAAGGAAAGGAGGGGGGAGGGAAGGAAGGAAGGAGAGAGGGAAGGAGGGAAGGGAAGGATGGAAGAGGAGGGAGGGAGAGCAGAAGGGAAGGAAAGGAGGGAGGGAGGGAGGGAAGGGAAGGGGGAGGGAAGGAGGGAAGGAAAGGAGAGGGAGGGAGGAGAGGAAGGGGAGGGAAGGAGGGAGGGAAGGAGGGAAGGGAAGGGGGAGGGAGGGAAGGGGGGGCGGAGGCTAAGTCGGGCCCCGCCCAGGAGGCGGGAGCGAGTCGGGGCAGAGGGAGGCAGCGAGTTGAGGCTGGCGCACAGCCGCGCCCCCTCGTGCAACCGCGGCCCGCCCGCGGGTGGCCTCTGCTCGCCCCGATGGCCGTGCCTGGGCGCCCGGTTACCAACGCGGCCGTGACGCGGCGGCCGGCGCGCGGGGAGGGCGGAGCGGCCGAGCGCTCTCACGCGCAGCGCGGGCGCCGCAGCCCGCACGTCCGCCCGCTCGGGGCCGTTTCCTCAGGCGGCGGCTCCGGCAGCAGCATCGCGCCAGAGCCTCGGACGGAGCCGCGCGGAGCCCCGAGTCCGGACGGCGGGGGGCGAGCGGTGGGGGACGCGGAGGGAGGCGATACGGAGGGGCGGGGGGGGCAGCCACCTTCTCTCGCGGCGACCTGGCGGGATGGGGGGGGCGGGGTCGCGGGCCCGGGCGCTTCCGGACGCCTCCTGATGGCGTCACAGGCCACACGCAGCAGGCACCAGGGACCTCCTGCGGGAGGGGCACGCGCAGGGGACGGGCGTGTGAGACAGGGCCAGAGCCGCCCCAGCGCAGCAGCCCGGGGCCTCCAGTCTGCGCGTGCGCAGTGTCGTCCTGTCGCCCTCCCTCAGGCTGGTGCTAGTCTCCCAGAGCAGCCGTGGGCTTCTGGCCGCTCAGGTCGGGGCCTTCTCGGACTCCCCAGTTCCGAGGCACACGGTCTTTACAGCGTTTCCGCCGGCAAAGGACCCACTCCTCAGCGCGCCTGACCACGATCGTGACCCGCTCCCCGCGGAGTCTCCGCTTGAGGGCGCAAGAGCCACCTCTCCCCTCGCTGTCCACTCCCCTCACGTCTCCTGGCAGCCAGGTCGCCCAGAGCCCGCACTCCGCTCCGCGCATGCGCGGAACCCCTCCTCGCCTCCCCAGCGGTCCCTACCTGGATTTGCGGCACTCCCGTACTCCGCGCCTGCGCAGAACCCCTTTTCGCCGCCTCAGGGGTCTGGGAGGCTGAGTCCTGCGGCGCTTCCGTACTCCGCTCCGCGCGTGCGCCGGGTCTGTGGCGCGCCCTCCGCTCTGCGCGCGCGGGGCTCGGGGAGCGCGGGGTCGCGCCGGATCCGTGGGCTCTGCAGTCCGGGTTGGATCGTGTGGTGCGGTCGCCGCCCGCACAGACGCACATACGTGTAGATTTCCAGTTTTATGGAGGGTTTCTCTAACGGGGACGTCGTGAGCTGACGTTTTCCTGAATAAACACCGGTGGCATTTCTGTACGCACGTGGTCACCGTGTCCCCGTCGTCCCTGTAGCCCCGGGCCCTGTCATCGCCGCCTCGCTCAGGGCGGGGGGCGCGGGGCCGGCGGCGGTCCTGCGGCCTCACCGGGTGCTGTGTGGGGTTGTCCCTCGGAGGGGCCTCGGCCACTGGTGTCCGGGCTGCGTGTCCGGGCCGCGACTCTGCGGGGAGGGGCGTCAGGACACCGGGGAGGGTTTGGGAAGGTAACCCCTGGACATTCCGGGCCAGGAAGGGGTGGCCCTGGGGGGCAGGTCGCCGACGGCGGAGGCCCGCAGGGACTGTGGGGTCCTTCCTCCTTCAGGGGGGAAATGGGCTGGCGTCCACGAGGAGGGTCTAGGGGTCCCCGCTGGCCTGCGAGCGTGGCCGTTGTCGCCCCCATGCGCCCCACAGGGCGGCCTCCCTCGACGGCCCCCGTGGACGCTCCGTGACTACGGCAGACCTGTGCAGCAATGGGAGCGAAGGAAGCTGTGGCCCGACTCCTCCGTGCGTCCCGGGGCCGAGGGTCAGAGGGCACCTCCTTCCCCTTCCAGTGGGAGGTGGGCGGGGCCGGGGCAAGAGGCCTCTCCAGTGCGGGCTTTGCCCACCTGGCGGTGCCCCTTAGCTCCCACATGCTGCCTGAGACGCCCAAGCCTGTTGGCAGTTGTGTTTCTTGAGGTTTCCGGGCTGTGGGGTGCATGGGTATTGGCCGGAGGGTGTCCTGTCCTCATCTTTCACTGGCAGGAGTGATGTATTCAGGGAAGACAATGATGGACAGTCCAGGAGTCATGCCAGATGTTTGAGATGAGACAAGGGGGGTGGGCCAGGCTGGAGTGTAGGTGGAAGAGGGAGGATCTGGCACCTGGCGGGTGGGAAAGGGGACTTGGGCCTGGCAGAGCGGAAGGGGCAGGCCAGCCAACCCAGGGGCCCAATGGGCACATTGGAAGGTGTCCTGCGTTACAGGGGAAGACAGGGTTAGACCTCGATAGTTAAGTTCCAATCCCAGAATGTTGCCTGGAATTTGTATTATAATTGTGTTTCAGATGATATTTCTACTTGATCTCTTTCTCTTAAAAATGGAATCCAGCATGGTGACTGAGGCTGTTTCGGTTCTGGTTAATCAAGGTTTTAGTGCACTAAGATTTTACTGGCTGGTTATAAATTAAATATAATTTTGGGCTATCTAACAGTGCCTTTGTGCAACTCTCACTGTTGCAAGTGGAGAATGAAATGAGTGCAGGGGACGCGAATGCGGTCTGTTCATCATCAGTAACTTTAATGGAGTTGGGTGAAGCGGCCTGGCAGGAAGACCCAGCCGACCGGGCTGCCTCCGCAGCCTCCTCCAGAAGCCCCTCGCTCAGTTCTGGGGGCTGGAAGGCTCTCGGAGACGGAGGGAATGACAGACGCAAATGAAACCGTTCAGTGCTGTCTTCTCAAGGTCTATCAGCAGTCACGTCCACCCCCGGTGGTTTGGTCCCATCCCTTGTGGTTTTGTCCCGGTTTATCTGAATTGTTTGTGCAGAAACTGTTTTTCCTCAGCTGAGAAGACCTGCTTACGTGCACGTTTTCTTTTTAGACAACTGTCTGTTGTCATAGGCCTCTTTTTCCATCTGTTCTTGGGGAATTCCTGGGAAGAATGTGGACGAGGCGTGAGAAATGACCTTCACCTAGAAGCAGGTCCCCACCGTAGGGTGAGAGTGGAAACTGGTGCTGTGTTTTTAGATGAAATTTCTTTGGGAAATAGTTTCTATTTTATCAATAATCCCCTGGCCGATGTTTTAAACCAGTATCTGTAACACTGCCTAAGACTTTGGAATAAATGGATTTCAGTAAGGAAAAGCCGTCTCCGAGAGCTGCGTTGTAAGGGGGGCTCAGCAAATAGGATGGAGAGGAGACCGACAAATGAGGGGCCCAGGGCCACAGGCGCAGGTGAAAGCCAGACAGAAGCGAAGCCACGTCCGCGGCATATGGCACTGGTGCCTCCTGAGGAGAGAGCTCCCTGCGCCCCACACGGGGGTCTGAGGTTGCCTTTCTAACTAGGTCAGGCTTCTTGTCCCGTCCATTTCTGGCCCGTCTGTGGTGCTGACTGCAGTGTGAGGCAGTCAGTGCCCGGCCCGGCCCTCTGCTTCCCCCCCACCACTCCCCCGTCATCTGCTCTCTGTTCTGTAACCGTGATTATATCTCCCTTGGTCTTGGGTGTCTGTGTGAACAGTGCCGAGGCCAGGATGGCATTTCCCCCCCTATGGGCCCAGGAGCCCACCCTGAGCCAGTGGAGGGAAACATTCCCAGCATTAAGGCCGAACACTTTTTTTTATGTGCCATTTTTTTCTTTGAAATCGTGCCACATTTAGTTTCCTTCTGCTGATACCTTTTGTTTCTTAACATTCATAATTGTGTTCTTCCTGATGAAAGTGTTGTGTACCGTCTCGTGTGCTCACACGGATCCAGCTCCTCTGGGCAGAAGCAGCTATGTGGGATTGTTTCCACCGTTACTGCCTTTTCTGGGAAAGCCTCCAGGCTCCTGCTGCATCTGGACTGGCCGTTCACTCTGCCTGCATGTGGCCGTCATCTGGGACTTCTGGGCAAGTTCTGCTGTTTTGTGGGTTCTACACTATGAGTCAGTGTCCCCACAGGACACACAGGGCGCACAACATCATTCCTGGAGGGTTTAATTCGGGGACTCATCCAAAGACACGGGCAGAAAGCGGGAAGTCACAAAACCAGGCCAACATCCAGCCTGATGACGGCAGAGTCGTCCTCGCTCTGGCTGAGGGGGGAGGGGGGAGCGTTCGTGGATCCGTGGACTCACCTGGGAAGGAGCGGCAACCTTCTCTGAGGGCCAAAGAGAGATTCAGATGACCTGTCAGAGAATAAAGCCCAGACCTGCCCTCCTGCCGATGTCTGGCCAGGGGTCCTGCCAGCCAAGTAGAGCTGGAAGCCTGTGGACGAAGCTCTGCAGGCCAGCCTCCCGGCCCCTTGAACTAGGGCACGGGGGAGCATTTACACCCAGATGAGGGTAAACGCCACACAACCGGGCTTGTGCATGGTTTTGTTGGGTGTCTTGACTTTAGAAAGTGGTGAAGAAGATGTTAACCATGCAGATCGAATTCAGAAGTGTGTCCAACTCGCATTGTGAACAGCACAAAAACATTGAGGAAATGTTCTTCTAGGGTTGGAAACTGTAATCCAGCTCAGCGAGTAAGTCATTGACAGAGAAGATCAGACGTGGTTTTGTGGTTTCATGTTGTCTTACCCATGAATGCAAATAAAAAGGTCGACCAGCATGTGTGTGGGAATGACGCTCACTGGTCAGTTACAGCCACAGGTCCCTCTGGATTCAAGAGTTCACCAAAATTCAGCAGAAGTGTCTGAGAATCCCTCAGCCATGTGGCGTTTACAATGCAGGGTACTGTGTACATTTATTATTTGTAAATTATGTG